GAAATCATCAAAGATATATTCTAGGAGATATACTGTGTGAGAATAAACAGTTACACTGAAGTCATAAGATAATGTCCCAAAAGAAAAATAATTATAATTTATATGCATCTGAAACATCCAAAAAAAGCCAACAAGTTTTCTTTCATCAGAACAATGTATTAGCCCTTCATGCAGGACTTTTTTTAAGAGAGATAAGAGTAAAGTGGTTCCTTTTGCATACTACTTTCTTAACCTAAGCTGTGTAAGATTAAGAGAGCAGTTAAGAAATTTTTAAAAATATTTTCAAATTTAAAGAATGTCTTCAAGGATGAAACATTTTCATCTTGTGCTGCACATCTGCTGTTTTCCAGTAGATAGAACATACTCTCAATCAATCATCTGTAGCAGTCTTCCAGTTATAGTCATGTTGGCATGAAAAATATTTGTTGTTGTAGGATAACTATATTGAAAAATGGTACATGTTCCTTTTACCATTCTCGAGAAATAAAATAGGAGACTTTAAAACTTGGATGCACCTTACACTTTGTTTGGATAATTAAGTACCAGATTATTTTGGCTATTAATGTTTCAAAATTATTTTATCAGAAACAAAAAAATACCTGTTTCTCAGCTTCCAATATTTCATTAACATAAAGTACTTTACTCAATTCAAATTCTTACAAATTCAGAATTTATTTAAAATTTAGTTTTAGATTAGAAGGCAAACTGACAATATACAACAAACTGAAAGGTAAAAACTTTGAAAGAGAAATTTTTTAGCATTATATAATGTTATGTTAATGTAAAACTTAAATTTCCTTAAATATTTAAACAAAATATAATCATAACAATAAAAATTAAAATTTCTAAAGGCATTCAACAATTAAAAAGTATAAATTTTCTGCAATAAACAAACTATAAATTTTAAATTCAGTTCTGATTATAATCAAAAGGTTAGCAGTAACAAGACACACAAAACAGACTTAATTGAACAAATTTCCTTTTCACAAGATGAAAAAACAATATATATAATATGGTGTATTCAGAGCCTCTCAATAATGGTGCTTAAGTTAAGTAAATGTGATTTCCTCATATCAATAAAAAAAAATCAAAACAAGTAGTTTAAGTAGATGAAAGTTTTAATTGATTTACTGAATAAACAAATTTGTGTTCTACAAACAAATTACACAATAGGCCTATTTAAAATGAGATAATTTAATGCAGTGTGTAGCGTCTGTGTAATCCAAAACGAGTTGGTAGACGAACGGACAGCAATTGGTTAGAAAACGTACGTTTTCTAACCAATTGCTGTCCGTTCGTCTACCAACTCGTTTTGGATTACACAGACGCTACACACTGCATTTGATGATACAGCAACCACGTCCTCTACATTAAGAGATAATTTAAATATAATTTATTATAAAACATTTTTGAAAAATTAATTAATTAATTAATACCAGATTACATAACCAAACAATTTGAATTAATTCACACATTTATATTTTCTGACAATAACATTCTGATTTTTCCATGTAGGAAACTTCAAAAACACTTGAAAATTAATGCGTTTTTATGCACATACACCACAAAAATTACTAGAACAAAAATAAAGCCTTTGCATAATTCACCTTATTCTATACTCCATGCCTATGGAAAAAGTTATTGTTCCATAGGTGCAAGTTCATAATTACATTTTTAAAACTGGCATATATATACTCCCTTTAAAATTATGTTTTAAGTACAGATAACCTGCAGGTTATACGTATAAACATATAAGTTACTTTTCATGCTTGTTTAAGCACTTTGATCTATCTGAATTCAAGACAAACATGTATATGATTCAAAAGATATACAGTGGTACCTCAGGATACGAAATTAATCCGTTCCGAAACTGAGATCGTATCATGAAAATGTCGTAAGGTGGATCATCTTTTCCCATACGATTACATGTAAAACGAAATAATTCATTCCAACACGAAAAACACACTCAAATTAAAGGCAAGTGATACATTAAAAAAAATAACTGTAGTAAGAAAAACAAATGAAAAATGCGAACTAATGTAACGTCGTATGGTGAGTTTTTGTTCGTATCGTGGAGCAAAAATATGTTCGAATTTCATGTCGTATCCTGAAAATTTCGTATGCTGGGGCGTTCGTAACCTGAGGTACCACTGTATTTATAATCACAAATAAATCAATTTTTAAATTTTTTATTAATGTCTAATAAAGAAGAAAAATGGAACAGATGATTATATGCAGAAATAACAAATAGTAAATAATAGAACTTAATAAAAAAAAAAAATAATAATTACTGTACATTAATAGAAAATCATATTAATCAAAAACTTTCGAAAAACCAACTCATTGAAATAAATTATTACAAATGTTATTTTCAAACAGTAATAAAGTAACTGCATATAAAATATATTTCATTATTAACAAGAGAACATAATAGGACATATCAACATAACAAAATGTGAAATTGAACAAAAAAAATATTAATCAGAAAAATAACAGAACTAATTAATATGCTTAATTAAAATACAGTAGAGCGTCGATTATCCAAAAGTCAATCATCCAAAAGAATTCCAGTCGGCAAATTTAAATTTTTGCCAGTGCTGTGGAGCTGCAATCTTTGGCTATGTCTTGGGCTACTCAAATATTTTACGTTTTTGATACTAAATTAACTTCTGAAGTATAATTTTTTATTGTTTTTATATTTTTCAATATATTTATTTTGTTCGTACAAAATAAAAAAATAATTTTTAACGATACAATAGTCTTCGTTAGGCTTAACATCGCCGAAAATTCAACGCGAAGCGACACGCAATGGAGAAAAATTTCAACATGGGATAAATTAATATATCTTTTTGTACGTAATCGGTTATCCGAAATATCGACTTTCCAAACAACCCCAGTCCCCCAATTGATTCGGATAATCGACGCTCTACTGTATCTATAACCATGAGGCAGATAATAGTAAGGGCTTATCACACCAATGATAATTGGCACAAACGCTCAAGAATCAAAGTAAGAACATTTAATAAAACAAAAAGGGATGTACAATAAGATGATTACATAAGTATAAAAACCATAAAAATCCAAAATGCATTTTGGACTATTTTCAATGACATCTGGCTGCATTATATGTTGTCATCATTTGGCTCCAGATGTGTAAGGTAACACACCTCCTTTATAACTGCTCCCTGCATCTTGTAGAAATGTCTGAACCTGCAATTCTGTTGTCCTACTGTTTTTGGTATGTATATAATTTAAACTGACTGTATAACATTAGTTCATAACTGTTAACCAATAATTCGACTAACTCAACTATTTTTATATCAGCACCCTGTTCGTCACGTTACCATGCAACATTAGGAAGAAATATTACTCCCGTCTACATTGATAATGCTTACTGCTAATACAGTCACGGCGACGTTTTCATCTTTATATTGTATAGCTTTAGGCATAGTTTTAAGTTAAATTTTAAATTTGTTTTTTTTTCCACCTTGTATAATTTTTAAGTATACTAAGACCTCTCATTAATACCAACTGATGAGGGACTATTTTTCTATTGGAAAATAGTCCGAAATGCATTTTGGATTTTTACGGTTTTTATACTTATGTACATCCCTTGTTTTATTAAATGTTTTTACTTTGATTCTTGAGCGTTTGTGCCAATTATCATTGGTGTAATAAGCCCTTACTATTATCTGCCTCACGGTTATAGATATTTTAATTAATTTACTAATACTTAGGGCTAAAAGAATTTTCTGTAATAATAATTAGTATAGTGTTAAGAACATTTTCAGATCTTATATAACAAAATAAATGAGATTCAAAATTAATTTTTAATTTGAAGACACTTATTATAATTACTCTAAAAATCAGTTCCAATTGGTTTGAGAGCACATTTATTAGTAGTGATTTCTCATAATTGTAAATGTTTAATAATTGTAATACTATCATTTAACTTACAAATACATTATAAATTCATTGATCATAAATCAGAAGGTATTTATCATTGATTATAATGTAGATAACATACTTATCATGACATATCTTAAAACAAAAAAGGTAATGCAATAGATTTATAATCATCAGCATCACAACTTTTCTAAATCTCCCAAAACTATCAAATGCAATGAAAAGTTAAATTTATAATTAAAAATTTAATTCAATTATATTTTGAATAAATTAATTCTAATAAGTATATTAAACCATCAATTTAAGTTTAGTTTGACAGAACAGATCAACTATTTTAAAAATAAATTATCATCAAGCAATCACAGTAATGCATAAACTCTCTCTTAATACAATGCTTAAGTCAATGAACTATTTTCATCATCGTCATAAGTTGTATATATATATTTTAAAAAAAAAATGCACCAGATTAGATTCGGTCTATTTATAATTAAAATTCAATAATTTACATATTCATTTTACTTTTTAAATCTGTAGATTTATTTTGTTTTCCTGATTAAAACATATAAATTATTTACAAATAAAAAAAAAGTGTTTTATTAATATTTAATTTAATATACCAACATTTTATAATCTTATATAAAAGTTTTTATATAAATTATCATCATAAAAATATTAGTCAGTGAATCTATTTAAGATTTTTTCAAACATTAAAAATCAATAAAATATCTCATATAAAACATATCAAACTGCATAATACAGAACAAGTGCCATATTATTTTAATAAATTTTCTTATAATTGCTATCATCATCATCATCTAATCAATCATCATTATAATCTATAAACTACACTTCATTCTTACAAATTATGAATCACTTTAATTTAAATCTGTACTAATTAAATTTATGTAATAACACAAAGCATTGTCTTGAGTATTGACAGCCAAAGTGTTGACATAAAATTAATTTCTGTGAGAATTTCATTTACATAATTCATGACAAAAGATTTAATATAAGAAACTCCCGTGACATTTAAATCTATCAATAAAATTTTCAAACCAACGCCCTTTAAATGTACGACTTAAAAAATTGTTTACCTCTAGTATAAAGTCCTGCTAACTCCTTCGCTCCGGCATGATTTGGACCCCATCTTGGTTTGGAATCATCTTCTTTGATTACATCGGAATTACAGTTAGGATCATCTTCTGGCATAGAATTCTCCAATATCTGCTTATCGGTTTTCACGGGCGAAAGCAGACAAGCAGACATTATTAAAAAAAAAAATTGGAGAACACTACAACCTGAAAGCCAAACGAAATGGCTACAGGACACCTCCTCAAAAATAGATGACAAACGGAATTCGTATCAACGCCTCTAGTGGCCAAAACAGAAACATTTTTAAGAGATCAATGTTCTTCGTATCGTCTTATTTGATTTCGTATTTTATAAAATTTAATATGTATTTAAGATAAAAAGTTGATTTTATTACGCTGAAATGTAGACAATAAAAAATAATTCGTAAAAATAAAAAAAGTCATAAATAATTTGTATTAGCAATAATGCAATACGTTGTCCTTCAGGATATGTTTTTACAATTTCGTCACAACTATGTAATTTTATTTTATTTTCCTGTCAGTTATAGAAGAATATAATGTAAGGAAAGTATGCTTAATAGGTTACATTTTCATAGCTGGGTTTTTTTTTCGTTTCTCGACGTTTCGACTTTCGAGGAGCCCAAAAATGGAAAAAAAAATAACCTTACAAAATTTTGCAGCTTTTATTTTGCATATCCAAGACTGGATCAACCAAAAATTCGACGAAGTTATTTATATATGTACAGGGCATTGATGCTATTAAATATTGATAATTATAGGTTAATTAAAAAGATGGGAGATAGATAGGTGTCACGTGTCATATCTCGGGTGGGGTCAGTCTTAATTGAAATTTTACTCGTTATTGGCATTTACAAATTTTTTAAAACTTATCTCTAACCTCAAAATAAAGCCCTTCGCCTTTTTACAATAATTGATAATATAAAAATTAGTTTTTTGTAAAATCTCATAATAGATGGCGCCACACACAATTTTAACTTTATGTTAAAATTTCACTATGAGTAATAAATAATTGATAGTACTGTTATATAAGAAAATTCACAAATATTCATCAGCGTAAGTATGATGCTACATCAGGGTCAACTGTATATAAATATTACTGTTCGAGGCACATGTGTAATCAAGGGCATGAAGAGAGGGCATACGTCTCTTAATTAACCAAAAAAAATTTAAAATGAATTATTGTGACATTATCACAATGCTGGGCTGCAATTTTTAATCATTTTTTTATTTATTTAATTTAAAATATATGATCTTCACCTCAAATTAGTAGTATCTTGCCCCTGTACATCATATTTTTCCTGTTAGCAATAGAGTCATGCCGGTCATCTAACTCCTTTCGGGGAAAATTTTGAATTGAAATAACATGACTTTCTGTTTGAACCGGAAGTTTACATATAGTTAATCGGGGCCTCCTGCCTCTAAGGTTTCCATATCTAGTCTCGACTTTCATCTAACACCATTCTTCAGATTAAGGAAGGACAGGAAGACAGACAGACAGACGCCAGTGAGAATTTATAAGTCTACAGTTTTTTCAAATTTCAGCCCAATTATAATCGATGGATAAGTAGGAATTTTATTCTTAAGAGCAATATTAGAATCAAGAATTGCGTTACATTGGAATCAAAATCAGTTAGAGCATTGTCAAAAGAAAGTTTCTATCAAGTATTTACACTATCATTTAAAAAGCGAATAACAAAAATAATTGGGCTGCAATTTTCAAAATTTGCAGACAAATTTCCACTGGCGTCTGTCTTCCTATCTGTCTTTCTGTCGTTCCTTAATCTTAAGAATAGTGTTAGATAGATGAAAGTCGAGACCTGATATGGAAAGCTTGAGGGCAGGAGGCCCCAATTAACTATATACGAACTTCCGGTTCGAACCAAAAGTCACATTATTTCAAATCAAAAATTTTCTCTAGGAAGGAGTTAGAAAGATGACCAGCATAACTATTGTTGACAGGAAAAGTATGATATACAGGGGCAAGATACTCCTAAAATTGAGAGCATTGTGACGATATCAGAATAAATAATTGTTCATATTATAACTACTGTAGATTCCAAACTATAGAAATTCTAAATTATACTCTTTACTGACATTCCAAGTCCTTTAGCTTTAAATTCGTCTAGTATTAATATTATCAGCACTGTAACGTTATTATTATTTGTTTATACTTAAAGATTTCGTTTTTTACTTAAAATAAAAATTTTCTTTTAAATGAAACTTATTTGATATAATGTCGTACTTGAAACTTGCATCTCAAGGTTAACAACATATTTCAAATGACCGGTATTTTGAAACTTTGATAGTCACAATAAATTAATATTATTTCAACCAACATCAAATCCATTTCAAATACAGTATTAAGATCATTATGATGATCTTAATACTGTATTTGAAACCGATTTGGAGAGTAATTCTCCAATTATTAAAATTCTAACAATTTATGTTTGTTCGAGAAAAGAGAGAAAAATGAGAAAAGTTACTACAAAGAGAATAATATTCTTAGGGAAGAATATTATTTCAGAAGAAATTTTTTCATCAAAGTAATTTTAAAATGATATATAATGATATGATAAACCGTTTCGAAATAATTGAAGACAAGAAAATTCGGAATTAGTATTTAGTGTGATATCCGTAAAAGTTCAAGTGAAGAGATCTCCAAGTTATTTTAAGGTGTTACATAACGATCGATTAATGAAAAGTAATCAATCAATCAATCATTACACAGCATATGGGGAGGGAGACGATAGAAAACGCCGATAAAAGCAGGAAACCAAAAACGAAAATTCTTTTATTTGTTTCTAGTCACGATATTCCCTTTCTGAAATTGTATTGTAAACTAGCAGACCTCGCCACGCGTTGTTGTGGCTCAAAATGTATCTATTATAAATTTAGAACACTTCCCCCGGGGAAATTTTTCGAAAAATTTCTTCTTAGTGTACATTCTCTTGACGTACCCTATTAAAACGCAATCAAAAATGCAAAAACCCGCATCTAAAATAATATAATAGAAGCCAAGTTTTTTACGGTAAGCCCTGCTCTCTCCCCCGCGGGGGAATATCGAAAAATACCTTCTTAGTGTACATTCTGTTGACGTACCCTATTACAACGCAATCAAAATCGCAAAAACCCGCATCTAAAATAATATAAATAGAAGCAGAGTTCTTTACCGTAAGCCTTAATCCTAACAATCTCCCTTCAGTGTGGGGAATTTCGACACGTATATTATATAAAAACACATGCGTATTCGAATGCAACGTTGTGTCAAAATTTCAAAGGAATCGGTAGGAACAAACGAACATTACATTTTTATTTATATAAATAGATAGAAGATGATCCGCTTTAGTTCATTTTCATAGAAAAGCATAATGCCTCACAGAAAAGCAAACTTAGGGCGTCGCACTCGTAGCGCCATCTGTTGGACATAAAAGCCTTAACCTAGATTATATATTTTAATTTATATGAATGTTTAATGGAATAATATACAGCCTATGTCCACCCTGAGGTTCCATTCTAAATATTGGTGAAAGAATTTTTGAAATCGGATGAGTAGTTTCGGAGATTACCTGCTGCAAACAAACTTACATACATACATACAAATATTACCTCTTTATAATATTAGTATAGATAATAAAAATGTCGTCTATGGAAATTTTAATTTTCCAGAAGCTTTTCTTGACTTTTTTGTGATTGAAGAAAACTGAAGGTCTGAAAAAATGAAATACTGTAGATGCTAGAATTGCGAACTTATGACATTGAATACTTTTTGTAGTAAATAAATGCCTTTTTAATAATAGTGTTGTATTTCTATTTCATTTTTCTCTTGCAGATTCTGTCAACGTCGATTGAAAGATGCAATTTAAGCTTCTAATGTCGTTTTCTATCGTCTTTTTTCTCATGTATTGTGTGTGTCTTCATTGCAGGTTAAACTAATTACAGGACTATGAAGGAGTACGTGTTACTGCCAATGGGATAAACAGCATGGATGAGGTATAGGAAAATATGTCTGTACTTGAATTACTAAGTTGACCATAATTTATATCAAAACTGGATAAATACAGGCCGCCTCTTATTAAAATTTCGTCAAGAAATATAAATGTGCATTATGGCATTATTAACGGTTGTTGGTAGGTTTATTAATAATGTATTACCGGTACTGATTTTGATTTGGTCGCGTAAAAAAAGAGTATGAAATTTCTCTAAAATATTTTATTTTCGAACATTTAATAACGAAAAAGTGATATTTTTCACAATATTAGGTTAATGTATAAACATACATTAACCTAATATTGATATAAACCTAATACAGTAACTCCTAGAATCAAACCAAAGCTATTTTTCAGATGAACTTATTTTAAGTTCTCATAATTTTATCATAAAACTTCTTGCACTGTAAGTCCCATTTTTGCTTTACAATTATCACTATTTTAACGGCTGCAATATTTAATTTACATTTTTCTTTTGACTGCAGCAAATTCTTAAGTGAAAATATTCTTTCTACAGAAGTTCCTGAAAAGCAAGATAATAATTTTATCAAGTTATTATAACCTTGGAATTCAAGGTATTTTTCATTACAGTACACTTCATTAAGTATTTTGATTCCTACTGTCAACTCCATTGATTTTTTCGTCATTCAGTTTCTTCAAGTGGACCACCAGTGCCCAAGCGGTCTTCGTACCCTGAACACTGGGAGTTCGGTCGTGGGTTCGCGCTTCGCTCGGACGGGCTGGCCACATGAAGTTTTTCGGGTTTTCTCCACGTCCGTAATGCCTAAATAGGGGCCAGATTCCCTTAAAAAAGACCTCCCGTTGCGACATGCTTCTGTGCAAGCAGACACGTAACGGGGGACGGGTACCTTGACGGGAGATGCGTCGGACTACTGAGCATGTCGGATTAAAAACGTCGGACTATCAAGGGACAGCTGTATTGTTTTTATTAGCACTCGTTGATCGAATTGCATAATTTCATCTGTTTCCGTTCATGTATTAAGTTCTTTAAATTCGTTGAACTACAGTATTCTGTAAGCTATATTTCATGTCATTTATTCTTCACTATTATCTGTTCAAACCTATGACCATTTCAACGCAGAATAAAGCTTTTCTAACAAATCACGAATTCGGAACACAATATACAAATGCGTTTAATATACAAACTGGAGAGCAAAGTTTTTGATTTTCAAACCCAGGAAAATTTTACTAAAACGACGGAACGGCCGGGACAGAGCAAATAACTGTACTGTCTCGTTCAAA